TTTTGAAGGAAATAACGTGAAATTATACGTATTGAAATATCATTGTTCCATTACTTTAGATATTTTCGAAAGATTGTTAAGATTTCAAGCCGGAAAATGGATGCTTCGATGTAATTTTATTATTTATAGAGGGTGGTCGCTTCGCAACAGATTGGATAGTTCCAGGGAAAACGCATTACCGATATTGAAAAAGCACGCATCTTCTGTGTACATGGACCGAGCCACCGGCGCCGGCATATTCGATGAAATTACCTTTGCCACGAATTTATCAACTTTTCCGGCTACTGTTTATTTTTTCGCCGGCTTATAAGAGAAGAACAAATAAGAGCCGGTCAAAATCTCAATGGCAACGGCTACTCTGTTTAACAGAAGGGACTCGCTCGAAGGATCGATCTGTTTACCATCGTTTGCTTTTTATATTTGCCAAGTTCAAACGTTTTCGCCCCGATTTTGTACGGTTAAAATCGATATGATTTGAGCAGTTTCAAATCTAATCTACGAGTAATAACTGTCCGATCTTCTACACCTCCACGAATAAATGTGAAGTTGTATTTTAAATCAAATGTTGATTATTCGTACCAAATGAGATCTCGGTAGGTGGAATAGTCGTACAATTACAATGAAATGGGATAAGTGATCACAAAATCTGTCTGTGTGTGTATCATAATAAAAAGTTGCAAACTTGTCAGTAAAGTTCCGGTTATTCAGTAGCCGATTATCTGGAACGTCCGATTAAGCAGCATATTTGCCACTGTCGATAACTTTAAATGATAGAAATACATACTATATGTATTTATAGAAAAAGGAAATTAAATTATTATCAATCACATTAACAGGGAAAGTCAGATAAAGCGTTATCACCTATTATCTCGGAAACTATAGCTACTATCGACGTAATTGTTGCGTACGCGTTTTCTATTGTATTGGATTAATGAACTCGTACTGTTGTGCGAATTGTTATATTTTTTGAAATGGACTGTATGGTTGTTGATGGTATTGAGTGTTCGTTTTATTTGTCTTCAATTGCTTTGCTAAATCGAAAAATGATCTGACCTATTTCGCTGCTGTATCGTCGTATTTATTTAGTACGCTGGGGCGTTTACAAAAATGAGCGTGAATGCAGATTCGCTGTTGGGGTAAAGAGGAGGTGGTGTTGAAAACTAGTGGGATTAAAACTATTTTCTATAAGTAGGAATTTTCGTCCCTTCCTAACGGTCAGCCGAAGTTACTGATAGTACCCACGAGTGACCCACGCAGGAGGAATGAGAGGTCCTATTAATGATCATAGCGAGTAATAAAACCCAGGAGCACCTCGACTTTTGACGAACATCTGGGTAACATAGAAATTATAACCCGGCTTCGAAACTTGGTACAATAACGCGTTGATAGATAATAAACTAAATTTTGGCAAGTAATGGTTTCTGGGACATGTATTGCTGCTACGGCAATTTGTGAGGCAAAAAGGTTTGCTACGCGACACTAATTGTTTTTTCTAAATTAAACGGTACCAAGTGCCTGATTGTATGGTGTATAAAAATTTTCCCTAAAATAGTCAGGAAAAACCGACTTCATCTTTTTTTTCAATGAGATGCTTGTAACGCGGTGTTACGTGTGCCCCCCCCCCCCCCCCCCCCCCCCCCCCCGTTACAATCGCTGCGCTTCTCTCACCTCCCGCTCCAATATTAAAACCCGTCCATAACCCTTCCCTTACCTTACCCCTTTCTCCGAGCCCACCGGTGTCGGGCCGATGGAGGCGACGGAAAGGACCTAGACGCGGACAACCCAAAAGGAGCTTCGAGGCCGGCGACAGACCCCCAACCCCTCCCAAGAAAGGGAGCAACGTTGGACTCCAAAACCAACAGTCCAAGCAGCCCAGACGACGGCGGAAAAGAGCCCACCTGGAGCCATCTGTCGCCGACCCCGGAAACCTCACACGCATCGACCCCGATTACCGGTACATCGATAATCGATAATCGATTTATCCCAACGCCGGAAGAGGCCCCATCCTAGCCCCATCCCCTCTCCAAAAATATCCCGCGGCGACGAGCGAATAATTAGCCTTGAACAACCGAAAAGTATAGATAACGAGATTATTAAGAAGCGATTCCAAAGCGATTTAGATAGAGTTTAGTAGAGCGAATAGTCGAGAGTGCAGTGTCTGTGAGGCGATTTGGTAAGTCCCTTATATTACATTAATTGTGAATTCTGAGTTCTGGCAACAGCTACCTTCTTCATCCGCACGTTGTACTACGCGATTCGTCGTACTCCCTTTTTCGATCCCCTTTTAAGATTCCCCTTTTCCGACATCTCCTCGTCGCGTAACGTAAAAAAACTTTCTGTGAGCCCTTCCCACCCTGAGATTTTCCCCACCCCAAACTGCTCCTCCTCGCGCACTCCTCCGCGAAGGATTGTTACGGCCATCCAGGAAGTGCCGCAAAACCCGTCCCCTGTACTGACCCCTTAGTGATTCCCAATTCCTCCTCGCCACGAAACGTGGCTGGCGCCCAGCGACAATTATAAAATTTCGGATTGTGAAAGTTATAGAGTGAACCCCCGAAAGGGTCACATGCTATACTAATTTTTTTTTCATTTAAATAACTTTTATTAAACTGGATAACATTTACTCAAACCATTTTTTTTATGTCCTTAACAGGTAACGATATATGGCAAACAGAATTTTGAAGGAGCGAATAACTGGAGGTGTCGAAGGAGAAATCTAACAAACGTATTTTGCCTTAATTTATTAATAATTTATGTAATTACATTTTAATCAGCGGCTATCGTAAGTTATTCGCGCTGTTCCTAGCTTGCAATGTAGAGTCGCGATCAAACCAGGCTTTCCTGGGAAAAAGGATAATGAAAAGGCTTTTCTTCCCTGCAAGTAGCTCCAGAGAAAATAAAAATATAGGGCTGAAGGACCCATGCATAGGGTATTTCACTTGAAACAGGCCACTTAAATATCACTACTATTTGTCGTAATACCAAAAGTATTTTTTAAGTAATTTTAATTGTTCTAAAAGGTGAATCAAATAGCGGAAAACCTTTTTATAAGTATCACATTGTGATGGATTTTTAAGCGTCATCCATGTTTTTTTTTACGGATATGCACGGATATGTACGGATATGATGGTCTGTTTAAAGCGAAGCACCCTATATATGTGACTGTAGCTCCCCATCATTGCGTATAAACATTTACGCGGGAGAATTTTAATTGATATTTTTCAGTTATATACTAGTTTTTATAATTACAAATTATATCATTTTTTTTTGCTAAATTACTTTTAATGTTTATATCGTCAAAAATTAAGATTCTCAGAATTCCTGCTTCCTCTATATCGCTATTTTTTCAAGGGAAGCCTGATTTGATCGCAAGTGTATGCTAAATGTACGAAGCCGAACGGAGATTCACAAGCGATAACTCGTGAATTTGCAAACTATTTAAATAAAGTACTTACCACAATTTGAATACGAGAATTCATATGTATAACATACATGTTATTGAGGTATATGACGTATAGTCAAACATTGTCGCGTATCATCTGAAGACTTTTTTCTGATCCTAGGGTATACAAGTAGGTACTACATTTTGAAAAACACTGTATAGTATTTTAGAGGTAGTTTATTATGTAACAAGTGTGTAATACTATACGATTTGCATAGTGACCATACTACTAATAATCCATGAAATAAACATAACGTGAATGAATAAAAATAATATTAACACGTTCACTGTCCCTGTGCCATATATCCCAGTAAACACGCAGGGTTCATTTCCGTAACAATTACATAATGTTCTATGTGTATATGTTACAGATCATTAAAATGAAACTGTAACGTATCAGTAATATCAATAACGTAATGAGTCTATAATTGTTGCATAGAATTGTTATGTCATTTTGTTGTTACTTTGTTATGCAACATTTATGCAATTTTGTGAACGTAAATGTGCATACTCTAAAAGTTTCGTAAATACTACATAACTTTAACAACCTTATTGAAACGTTATAATAAGTACGTAACATTTATGAATTTTGATGAATGTAAATGTGTATACTATAAAAGTTTCATAAATGCCACATAACTCTAATAACATAATTAAACCGTTAGGTTAAATACGTACCAATTATGTATTTTGGTGAATTGTAAATGTGTACACTCTAAAAACTTCATAAATGTTATGTAACATTAACGACATAATTGTACCATTATTTTAAACAAGTAACATTAATATTATTTTGATGTTATATTGATGTCAATGTGTACATTTTTGTTAAAACCTTACAAAAAGAATTCGTAAAGGAAGAAAATCATGCAAAAACAAGAAAATGGAAGATTTTGAGAGAGAAAAGTTGCGATATATTTGTTTATAATTTAAAAGCAATAAATATGTCGACCATGACTCTTTTTATGATCTTCTTTAAAAAAGACATGATCGACATATTTATCGTTTTTAAATTATAAATAAATTGTATGTCGCAACTTTTCTCTCTCAAAATCTTTTATTTTCTTGTTTCTGCATGATTTTCTTCCTTTATGAATTCTTTTTGTAAGGTTTTAACAAAAATGTATACATTGACATCAATATAACATCAAAATAATATTAATGTTACACGTTTAAAATAATGTTACAATTATGTCGATAATGTTACATAACATTTATGAAGTTTTTAGAGTGTACACATTTACAATTCACCAAAATACATAATTGGTACGTATTTAACCTAACGGTTTAGTTATGTTATTAGAGTTATGTAGCATTTATGAAACTTTTATAGTAGACACATTTACATTCATCAAAATTCATAAATGTTACGTATTTATTATAACGTTTCAATTATGTTGTTAAAGCTACGTAGCATTTACGAAACTTTTAGAGTATGCACATTTACGTTCACCAAATTACATAACATTTCTATGTAACAATTACAGATTCATTACGTTATTGAAATAATTGATACGTCATAATTTTGTTTTGTTTAATTATAACTGTAATTAGTAAATTTTTCTCTACATTATGCATCTGTGTAAGTTATATAAACATGCCCTTATAGGATAAGTCTATGATTGGCTTAGCCGTATTAAACATAATACGTGCAAGTGCGCAATGATTGTACAATCCCGTGCTTCTGTGCGCTAGTCTTTTATTTTCAATATGGCCAAATATACGAAAACAGTAGTCGTGCGTGCTAAAAAATTGTGTTAAAAGTGTGAACAGTATCGAGATATCGGTAAGTATGAAATAAAAATTCAGTTAATAATTAATGCCAACAAGTGATAATTGTTGTCTTGTGGTAAAAAATCTATGCTAAAGATTGAATTCCTCTTGTGCAGTGAACAAAAGATACAGCGTACCACGTGAAACCCGCGTGCGCCTAACAAAAGACAAAGGACCTCGTGCTGGCGAAAGATACACCTAGTTTTGCCTCATTATTTTTATATTTTGGCATTTTTATAGTGAGTACAATTTATTTTATGCAACATTATCTTCATCATGCTTTTTTACAATATTTGTTGTATGGTCATTTAATGAGAAAAACAAGAAATCTTTTATTTGCACTACTTTTTGAATCAGAAACTTGAACATTTCGAGTGTAAAGTTACATGACATCATCTCTTAATTATAGATTTATTTTGTATTGCATTGCACGCTAAATCCCGGTCTACAATTTTTTTCTAATGATCTTAATGCTTATCCCAATGATAAATGATATCAATTATGAAATATAATTTATATTGTTGAGCAAGATATCTGCATTAGAAAAAACTATAGATATAATTTCTTTTTCAAATACTTCACATATTCTAAAAGTTTATTATTAAATTTTTTCATAATAATTTTTTGCAAATGAAATAGTATCTTATAATTAATAAATATTTTCTATGCATGAGTCTTAATTTTTCAATTTGGTATTTGACCGTGAATTAATTTCATGTAAACTGATTTTTATTCAAGTAAAATATTTGGTAATTATTTAGAAAGCAGACGGCATCTCCGATTTCGATAATCTTTAAATATGTTATTAAGTTCGAAATTTTGAACAACTTTTTCCTATAAAAGTTGGCTGAAAAATCAAATTTAACTAATTTGAATGATTTTGAATCTCAGCTTGTATGGCTGGTCGCCTCACGGCCTAACCTAACCTAATTCACTGGTTAGGTAGATTAGGTTAGGTTATATTGAACAGCCGGCACACAAGTTCAAATTTAAGTCGAAAATCAAATCATTTTTAAAATGTCCACACTAAATGAAATTAGTTAAATTTGATTTTTCAGCCCACTCCTTATATAGGTATGTCGAATGTCGGTTGCCTGCAGAAACAGTTAACTAACGTGTATGTCGTCACGGACGCACACAAATAGGCAGAATTGAATGTAGTAGTTTCGATAGTTTTTCGAAAATATTTCAAAAACTAAGGCCGAGCGATGATTATATGTGTACGAAAAAGTTGTTCAAAATTTCGAACTTTATAACATATTGTTGCGACGGTGAGAAGTTTCCGCTCTTTCGATGCATCGACTGCTTCTTGATGTATCGAAAGAGCCATCGACTGCCCCGTCCGAAGCTGTCAACGAATCATGATGTGAAGCTATTCCATGTTTCGAGGTCCATATTCCATTTTTCCTTGAGGTCTCTTAGACAACCGCGCGGCTTTTGAAAATCACAATGTATTGGGAACCCGACCTGTACGGATCTATTGCTTAAGAACTCCTTTGTAATCGAAATATACAGAGTCTAGTTTGCTTCGTCTCTATTTATTTGACGATGGAAAGTGCGAGCTCCACTCCCCGGCGCAACAATATTTAAAAAACATCGGAATCAGCGGTGCCGTCCGCTTGCTAAATAATTACCAATTGTAACTATTATGCGTGCAATATGCTTATATATAATTACCTTAATTTATAATTTATAACAAGTTCATAATAACATGCAACATAACGAAAAAAATTATTCGTGTTTAATTAATTACAACACTAAAAGACATCATAAAAATATTTACATTAAAAGGCATCGAAAAATTATATAGGTTCACTATAATTGTGAAGAAAAAAATTTTAAATTCTTTATATATAAATAAAATACTATTTAAGAAATATAGATTACATTTTTTCTGAATTTTCTATTGGCGTCCTTAAAATATTACATAAATTATACTTTAATTATTGAATTAGTTTGTTTAAAAAAAAAACTGCAAATGTCAAAACATTTTTCATTTATCAAAATATTTTTGATTCTCCATATAAGCTTCCTACATATTGTTTCAGTGATAAAGGAGAATATAACATAAAGAAAATAATATCAGGCAAACCCAAACCTATATTCGTATACATAATCGCAGTTCATCTACTTTCTATTGCTTTATAAAATTATATATTATGTCCAAATCAAAATTAAGACTAGACGTTATTTCTTTAACGCCACGGCAGCGGCGACGTATTTTTTTAAAAAGATTTCGTAATATTTGCCAAATGACTATTAATTCAAATTTAGAAATTCAAGATAATATCGTAAATTTATCAAATGTGCCAGCTAACATCAAACAATTACTTCAGCAGCAAAATGTACTAAAAGAAATTGATTTCGATTATTCCAATGTAATGAACACACATAAGTGTACAGAAAATAATCATGATTTAATTTCTGAACATTCGGAAATTAGTATTGATAAAAATAGTCCTCAGTCAAGTATTTCAAGTGATAAATTTTCTAAAACTGAATGTTGTAAAACAGAACTTATTAACGACATCCGATTATGGGCTATTGAAAATCGTGTTAGTCATTCTGCTATTAGTAGTTTACTAAAAATTCTAGTAAAATACGGCCATAATCTTCCTATTGATGCTCGAACTCTGTTTCAAACTCCCAAACAAGTGGCCATTATTGAAATGTTACCAGGAAAATATTATCATGCAGGTTTAGGTGATAGTTTAAAAAAATCTATTCGTAAACATTATTGTCGAAGTAATTTACCATCTCAGATAAATATTAATGTAAATATAGATGGTCTTCCTTTAACAAAATCATCTGGGAGTCAATTTTGGCCTATTTTAGGTAGTATAGTTGCAGATTTTTACACCGAACCGTTTATAATTGGTGTTTATCATGGTTTTGAAAAGCCAAAATGTAGCAATACTTTTTTAAAATATTTCAAGGATGATTGTTTTAAAATTTTCCGAACTGGCATTATAGAATACGGCAAAAAAATAACTGTGAAATTGAACGTATTTATCTGCGATGCTCCTGCAAAATCGTTTATCAAGGGAATTAAAGGACATAATGCGTATTTTGGATGCGGAAATTGTATTCAAGAGGGAGATTACATAGAAAATCGAGTAACGTACCCAGAAATTAATGCAATGTTAAGATCAGATGAATCTTTTAAATTAAGGAAACAAGAAGAACACCATAAAATCACGTCAAATATTGAAGATTTAAACATTGGAATGGTTACTCAATTTCCTTTAGACTACATGCATCTCGTACTATTAGGAGTAATGAAAAAATTGTTGCAGTTTTGGATTAAAGGTAAACATAATGTTCGTATGGTTGCAACTCAGATAACTCTTGCTTCAACTTCTTTATTATCTATGTCATCATTCTTACCTAAGGAATTTGCTAGAAAGCCAAGTTGATCGCTTTAAAGCCACCGAATTAAAACAATTATTATTATATACTGGGCCAATAATCTTTTTTAAAAAATTATCACGTGATAAATATCTTCATTTTTTGAGTTTGAGCGTAGCAATTCAAATTTTATGTAACAAAGAATATTGCGTACAACTGCTTGATTATGCACACAGTTTATTATTGTATTTTGTTGAAAATTACGGTACATTATATGGTCGTCAACATATATCATATAACGTTCATAATTTAATTCATTTGTGTTCTTATGTAAAATTATGGGGAGAGTTAGATAAATTTAGCGCGTTTAAGTTCGAAAATTACATGCAAAAAATTAAATCAAGAATTAGATCTTCGAGTCGACCATTAGAACAATTAGTCAATCGTTGTAAAGAAGAAGATAATTGTAATATAACAAATATAGAAAGGAATTATCCAATACTAAAAGAACTTATTATAAATGGTATAAAGATAATAAAATCAGTTCAATGTAAAGGTTTCTATCTAAGTTCAAGAACTGCTGATAATTGTTGTCTTTTGTTAGATGGTACAACAATTTCAATTATGAAAATTTATTTTAAAAATAAAGAGATTTACATTATTGGCAAAAAATATTTAAATATTAAATCATTTTTTCACATTCCATGCAACTCTTTCAATATCGGAATTAAAAAAATTAACGAGTCACAGCATGAGTTAATTACTGTTCCATTGTCTGATATTAAATTAAAATGTGTAAAACTGCCTTTATGTGACAAAGAACATGTGGTATTGCCTTTACTGCACCAACAAGAAATATGTTTATGGCGAGTACTTATTTTGATAGAATATATAATTGAAAACAATATTGAACTATTTAACAAGTTTTCCTTTTTTACAGATTATTAATAATGGTAAAAAATTTCGCTGTCGTCACTTTTCCAAGCGATGGGAATAATGAAGAAGAGATCGTATCAGAAGTTCCATCTTTATGGCTTTCTTCCAATTTAACAGAATGCTGGTGGCCATCAGTAAAAAATATCAATACCTTTATTGTGAAACAAACACCACCTGTTAATAATGATCCTAAATGGACACTTCATCCTATCAAATTTCATGGACATTATGGTAATTTATATTTTACTTCAGAACTTATGTAATTATTTTTTTAATAATTAAAAAAAAATGTTTATTAATTAATATTTGAATATTTAAAAAAAATAATGTAACTTGTAAATTACGGTTTTGCCCTAATCAAGATTCATTAGATGAGGCTAGACAGAGAGCAACGAATTATTCTTCAAGTGATGAAAGTAATACAAATCAAATAAAGAAGTCATGCATAAAACGGTCACTAAATACTGTTTATAACAATGAATCTGAATCTGATTCTGATGACCCACGTTCAATTATACCAAATCCACCAAATCTTAAAGATACAAATGTTTCACAATCAGAAAAAAATATTCAATCAATCTCAAATATTTTGGATTCAACAATTATTAATAATATTGATATGGAAATTCTTGATGGAACTATAGTACCTCACAAAAGTAATTTTTATTTTAATTCTTTTATTCCATTTTTATTATCTCTATAATAAAACGGTGTTTATTTAAATTATAGTTATTACTGTTTATTGTGAGTAATCTAATACTTTTTTAATATTTAGGCATACAGGATGTATATACGTTAGTGTCAGGAATGTCAGATAAAATGGAAGGTTTTGAATTTATTTTTTGTCTTATAATCTTATTAATATCTCTTCATGGCATTGTTTATTCAATATTATTAATTTTTTAGATAATTTTGAAAAAATATATACAGCTATAACTACAATTTCATTAAACATACAAGATATTGATACTCGTTTAAAAAACATGGAAACACAACATAACCAACATAAGTCTAAAGCATCTGCCATGGATACGTCAAATATACAAAAATCTTTTCCGTTTAAGAACATAAATGAAGTAATAGCTTTTGAAAACAGTTTATCAGAAAATACAGATGAGTACAACAAATTTGTAAGTTTAATTAAGTTATTTAAATGCAGATTTTATTTAAATAGAATAATAGAAATGATATTATTGATATATTTTATTTTTAAAGATGTTGTATATATCTCGCATAGGCGGAGGGTCCGCTAAGGAAAATTTAATACGTATATATCGAACTATATTTTCGAATGAAGTTGCCAAGGTTTCATCCTGGAAGGGACTACGTAATCATTTTAAAATAAGTAGTTTAAAATCTATGTTGACGGGAATACAAGGTAAAATATATTTTTATATTTATAAAATATAAAATTTAATTTAATGTAAAATTTTTTTAATAATTCAGCAACAACTTTGGCTCAGTACCAATTCACAAACAAAGAGTTTGAAGACATCACGAAAGAATGGTTTCGCCAAGGTGGTCAGAGGCTTAGCAGACAACAAAAATACTCCGAAGAAGTAAATCCGCAAGCTATTTAAATGTCTCAAAAGCTAATCTTTTTTTTATATAATTTTATTATAATCTTTTTTTTATTAGTTTATGAGCTTCCGGCTCCTTGTTACTTTATCTAACAATTTTTTGATAAGGTCTTTGAGGCTTCCGCGGTTAGATTCTGTACGAGACTTGGCGTCCGGGATGGAGCCGCGTTGATTGACAAAAATAGTTTATTGCCGACGTTTCGTAAACATTGCAGTTTACTTCATCAGGGCGAAAGACAACCTGATACTGGTTGCTTCCGTACAGGGTGTCATTATTTATCCAGAACTGGAGTCATTGTTGCGTGACGTTTCAGTTAGGTGAAGTTGACCAATTGAGTGACTGTTTTAATTGATTGACTAATCAACCAACGCGGCTCCATCCCAGAGACCGTCTCATACAATTTTTTTAATTACAAAAAGTATAATTGCTTTATTGTTATTTATCAAATAAAAATCGAATTGCGTTTCCATTTTTGTTTAAATTAGATTTACTCTAACGGTACACACTTATGTATTTTTAACAGATGTGTTATAATTAACGAATTATATATGACTCTCAAAGATTCTTACAAATTGTGTTGCAAAGTGTATTAATTAATTCAATATAAGTGCAATTTGTTATTTAAGTTTAAAGTTATTATCAGCTATTAGTATATTTAAAGTTTTCCGTTAACAAAATTTCTAAAACTATATAATATAATTTAAATTATTATTATAATTGTAATTTAAAACAAAAATTAGTTTTATAAATATTAATAATATTTGATAAAAAATTTATTCAAAAATTTGCTACAAGATTTATTTATTTAACAGTTTAGCATATGTGGAAATAAAGAATTGTTCTATCAAGCTTTTATTGTTATTTATATCCATATATTTATATATGCACGATTTTTTAAACATAAATAATATCAGTTAATTCTCTTAATTATAATAAAGAAACAACCATTAGTAATTAACTCGTAAGAATTTGATCCATTCAACTGTTATTGAGAAATGAGAAATCACATTACTCTCAACGGGCCCACTCGTATAATGATACACGACGTGCCTCGTTACTTTATGCTTGTGAGAAGGTTTTACCTATACTAGACGCGAGACACTTCCGTGTCTCTTGATAGGTAAAATTTAGACATAAAGTTATGCAACTATAGCAGAATAATTTCTTGCACTATCACTATCACATTTCACATTCAGATTGCACTGTCACTATCACTTTTTACATTGAAATGTCAATGTACTGCACTTGTTATTCGTAGATTTTAACCCTCTTGTATGACTTGAGTAAGCTCTGTTGGCCAACTGACGCGGTGCCTACGCACTTGTTCGCGACCATACTGAGGATCCATGCGTACCCATCACTACCATGGCCAGTGTTTTTCGTTAATAATTTGAAAACAGAGCCTTAACCAATATTTTGACGCAGGAAAAAGTTGTTTAGAATCACATTAACAATCATCCCTCTTCGGCTCTTGACCCAATGAGGGACACACTGTATAAATATTACAGAACAGTGTGTACTAAATTCTATTACAATTACGTAATTTTATATCTCAATTTTATGTATCTATTACGTATTATATACAGGCATAATGTTGCTGAAATTTCCTTCTAAACATCACTTAAAAGTTGACATAACGGCTACAATATCTGTTCTGTCAATGTTACAGAACAGTGTTTACTATGTTCTGTTACAATTACGTAGTTTTATATATAAATTTCATGTATCTGTTACGTTTTAAAAATTGATATACTGTTACAAAATTTGTTCTGATAATGTTATGTAAATGTTACAGAAGAGTGTTAACTATGTTCTGTTATAGCTACGTAATTTCGTATATAAATTTTATGTATTTATTACATTTTAATTTTATGTATCTATTATGTATCATATACAAGAATAACGTTACTGACATTTCCATCTAAACGTTACTTAATTGTGGACATAACGGCTACCACAACAGCGAACAGATGTTTTGCAAATGTACTGTAAAAGTTACAAAACAGTGTTTATTGGGATGATTCATAATAAGTTTCCAATTTCACATTCTTGGAGCATGTATATATATGACTCATAATTATTAACGAGAATGTGGCGTAAAATACTTTGAAATAGTTACAGGACATCTGGGAAGGGTCATCGGAAGCATACTGACAATGAATAAATTTCGATTATATAGAATTCACGAACATTGTTAGGATACATCTTTCCGAGAACTACACTTCGCAAATCAATTAAGCAATCACCTTTACGAACCCGAAAAATATGGCGAGATTCAGATGGTTATCACTTCGAGGAAAATGGTCGAATCGATATCGCGGAAAGCTCACTTGAAGCTGTAAAACCTCTATTTTCAGATACCCTTTTAATTTTATGAAAGTTATAGTGATATAAGTAGCACTTCAAAAATTTTTAAAAATTTTGTTTAACTTTGTAATGTTGCATGGAACTAATAAAATTTTTTTAGCAAGTTATATTTGTATCAGTCGAAATCCACTACATTCCTATGTAAAATCAGTATTTATTGGTTCTTGTACGATTTTTTTTGGCTGAGTTATTTAATTCTGAAGTAAAAGTCGTCATTTTGAATATAAAGCGATGAAGTCATTGCGCGCAACACGATCTAGGAAGGCAACAGCGCCTCAAGTATTTTTACAAACACATTCAAACGCTCATCTTGCCAGAGGCATCGCGACGATCCGCCTGAAGAACGAATGCGAAACATTGGCGCGTGGTTAGAGTGGGATGTAGGGTGATCATGCTATCCTTTTTTCAACCTAAATGATAGAATTGTCCCGCTCCGATAAATTCTGACTGATTGAAAGCGTGGATTTTATATAGCGCACCGTAGCACCCCTTGCTGCTGAAAAATATATGCCTACTCTGAAGAACCGAAGGAACGTGCAATCTGAGAAATTTTTTAGAAAAAGTTATTAACTTCTTTAAATAAATGTTTTTTAATTAATAAAAATATACAGGATACGTCATGCAATTTCTGACGGGTTATATCTTGAATTTGGTAAGTGTCGCGTAGCGAATTCTTTGTAGCATAAGTTACCGTAGCAGCAATACCTGTCCAAGGAACCGTTACTTTTCAAAAATTAGTTTATTAACACGCTATACCCAGTTTCGAAGCCGAGTCATAATTTTTTATGTTATTCAGATGTGCGTCAAAGGTCGAGGTGTTCCTTGGGTTTATTACTCGCTACGGTCATAAATAGGACACTTCATACCCCTGCGTGGGCACTCAAGGATTGCCCGGAATTTCGAATGACCATCGGAAGGGACAGAATTTCCCTTATATGCATAGGCAATTTTTCGACACCACCCCCTCCCTTTTTCCACAACCAATCAGTCTGCACAAATTCTTGTAACCGCCACAACGTAGCGCTATAAATATAACGACAGGACAACGAACACCAGACATCATTCTACAAAAGCAAGCATAGAACACGAATAAAGCGAATTTTGAGTTATCCAGAGTATCATTCTACCAACAACTGTACAGTCCACTTTGAAGAACAAAAATTCGCACAAGGTTAATTCGGCGTGCGAAGTACGGGTTCCTCTGTTCAGTTCGAATAGAAAACACGTACGCAACAGTAAGAGATAGGAAAAAGCTGTTTATGTAAAAGTTCGATGATAATATCTATTTTTCTGTGATTTCATTTTTTCCGTGAATGCAACGATGCACTTAAAAAATGCAAATCCATTTTTTATTTAAATGGAATTGCATTTGTTTTTTTACTTGTGCCAACTCCTTGAAACATTCTGCATAAAAAAGTACTATGGTACTCTTAGAACTAATAAATGGAGGGACCTCGCGTTTACATATACAGTAAAAGCTGAATATATGCAACAGAGATTGGGAACCAGACATTGCATATATCCAGCCGAGATGTCGAATCTCGAATTAGATGCGACGACCAGCCAAGTATGAACGTAGAAAAGGACAAACAGTGGAGGAGAGAGAGAGGTCTAATGACCAAAGGAAAGAGCCGAAACGTAAGTCAATTATAAAACTTTTTTATTTTTGACTTTTTTTTACTGAAACTTTTACTAGCGCATTGGTGAAATTTTTCTGATTAACATGATACCAAACACGATATAGTTTGAATGGGGCGAGGTTATGGGGCGCTGTAAAAAATCCAGGCGGGCCGCAGGCAAAACTTAGCGAAATGGGACAATCTCAACATTCAGAATCAGAGAAGGACAGCATGACTGTAGTGCGTCTCACTCAGCGTTCGGGCGATGTTGCCTTTTTCGCTTGCCTTCGCAGCACAGTTCGAGTGACGTAATCAAGCTAACGCCTGATTCTGATTACGATTCCAACTCGGCAGCCTTTCTACTTAGACGCCACCTTATAACTACTAGCTGAACTAAAGGGTATAGCCGGATAAGATGGTCAAAAGTGCCCCCAAACCAAATTCGACTTGCAATGGCTCATTCGATAGCTTATCAAAAAAAACGGCTGAACTTCGTCTTGGGGGACCAAAAATTTCTGGATGAAAAGTATCAAATCTTATAGTTTTTGACCTGAAACATTCGAAAATACAAGTTAAAAGTCCAGGAAACCAATAGTTTAAAAGATATGAGTACATGAAAATGTGTGTACTTGGCGTACTTTGACAGGTCAGTACGACGCCATTTGGTCCAATGAGTGGAGTCGCCGTTGGTAAAACAGAATTATATAAGTGGTGGCCTAAACCCGGTATACCTAAGGTTAAGTTTTTTTTTTTATAAACAATATCCCCTCGGATTTGATAGGAACTGAAGGTACTCACACCCAACAAATAGAGTCCAAACAAAGGATTGGATGCGGGGAAGAGTCAATGTGACATCGTACTGTCCTGTCAAAGTACGCCAAGTACACACATTTTTATATACTCGTATCTTTTAAACTATTGGTTTCCTGGACTTTTAACTTGCATTTTCGGACTTTTCAGGTCAAAAACTACAAGAATACATATTTTGGACTCGTTAATTTTTGGTCCCCTAAGACGAAGTTTAACCAAAAAAACCAGTCTGTGCCAAGTTTAAACCCTGTATCTCATCTGGGAGGGTAGTTACGGGTAAAAATGTAATTGCGAGGTTTTTGGCCAATTTCTCCGCTTTAATAACATTCGAAAATTCTAAAAAAAATCAGAGACATTTCTATTTCTGAGGCACATATTACAAAATTTTTTCAGATTTTTAGATTGAAAACTGAAGCCGTGAAAAATCAAAAATGTCTAAAAATTCGGAAAAATGGCGATTTTGTATAGAAGGAGTCGCGGATCTAGATTCATATTTTTTTCATAAGTGTATATTATCGATACTATTATTCTCAATTTTTTTGAGAATTTTTGGTCAGGCGCGCCATAGTTAAAAAAATTAAAAACTGAGTTTTTCGCTGTTTTTTGTGTGTCAGAGTTACTTGTACTGCGAATTTTCGTCTGTTCTTTATCAAGTAAGTGTGTTATACAATGTTCAATGTTTTTACGTACAGTGAAACGCAATACGAATTTAAAAAACTAAATAAACCAGAATTATAGAAAGCACTTTATGTGTGCTATATATCAAAAAATCGAAAGCATTTCCAACGGTGTCGCTGGTTTAGCGGTTAAGGCGCCTGGTTGCTAAACCGCTGCTAGGCTTTTCGTAGGTTCGAGTCCCCTCACGCTGATTTTTTTTTTTCTGTAAAATACATGTTTCTGAAAAAAATCTCAAATATTTTGAATGTGTTTCTTTATGATTGTGAATTTTTTCAGATTTTTCGGTTGCAAATCCTAGGCGTGAAAAATCAAAAACGCAAAAAAAAGTCGAAAGATTGAGATTTCGGGTAGAAACTTTCGAGACACTACATTTTTACTTTTGCAGTTGTTAGATATTAGCATGACTAGTGTCCTCAATTTTTTTCAGATTTTTCAGTCTGGTGCGCCGTGTTTAAAAAATTAAAAAATCGATATTTTCGACATATTTCGTGCGATAACATGAGAAACACTTTCAATTTTTAAAAGAACTTTTATACACTTAGTATATTATGTGATTTTTAATGTTTCTGCACTGAACGAAACTGAAAAACATGTATTTTACAGGAAAAAAAAATAAGCATGAGCGGACTCGAACCTACGAAAATCATAGCAGCGGTTTAGCAATCAGGCGCCTTAACCGCTGGACCAGCGACACCGTTGGAAATCCTTTCGATTTTTTGATATATACCACACATAAAGTGCTTTCAATAATTCTGGTTTATTTAGTTTTTTAAATTCTTATTGCGTTTCACTGTACGTAAAAACATTGAACATTGTATAACACACTTACCTGATAAAGAACAGACGAAAATTCGCAGTACAAGTAACTCTGACACGCAAAAAACAGCGAAAAACTCAGTTTTTAATTTTTTTAACTATGGCGCACCTGACCAAAAATTCTCAAAAAAATTGAGAATAATAGTATCGATAATATGCACTTATGAAAAAAATATGAATCTAGATCCGCGACTCCTTCTATACAAAATCGCCATTTTTCCGAATTTTTAGACATTTTTGATTTTTCACGGCTTCAGTTTTCAATCTAAAAATCTGAAAAAATTCTGTAATATGTGCCTCAGAAATAGAAATGTCTCTGATTTTCTTCAAAATTTTCGAATGTTATTAAAGCGGAGAAATTGGCCAAAAACCTCGCAATTACATTTTTACCCGTAACTACCCTCCCAGATGAGATACAGGGTTGAAACTTGGCACAGACTGGTTTTTTTTGATAAGCTATCGAATGAGCCATTGCAAGTCGAATTTGGTTTGGGGGCACTTTTGACCATCTTATCCGGCTATACCCTTTGACACGTGACTTGCTCTGTAGTATCCAGATAATGGCGGAACTCGTCTTTGGGAATGCTTTTACGGGAATCGGTTATTCGTCCTTATATGAGAAGATCTTGAGCTGAATAAGGGCTCATTCGAAAGAGGAAGGTTCAATGCAGGGCGGTCAACTCACCGTTTAAGTCACAAAACTCTTTTAGTGGCCTAAAAATGCTTCGATTTCGCAACTGCATTTTGTCGATTTTTTCTTCTACTTTCGACACTGATATTATTAAATGTGGACATAATCTCGTTAAACCATGAGTTGACCGCCCTGCATCTTTCGAATGAGCCCTCACCCAGCCCTATGTGTTCTCATATAAGGACAAATAACCGATTCCCGTAAACCCATTAATAGGCCCATATTTGCCGGTAATGTCACCTCGCTGCATTACCCGTGTCTACCCCCTTAAGATCATTTTAAAGCAGAGAATTGGCCGATTCGATTGAGCCCCAAGCGAATGCACTGTGACAATGTTTTATCCATGGCCATTACGTTCAACGTTACCGATTCGCTAGAAGCATCACTCGTACTTCAACGGCTGCCTGACAGCCATGGATGCTACCTGGTTACGTGGAGGGTTACGTGAATTATATTGTTATTAAATGTATTTTACATATCTGATGCAGACATAGTAACAATTATATTGTTATTAAATGTATATTACATTATATCTCATGTAGATATAGTAATAATGACATTGTATGTTAAATGTATATTACATATCTGATGTGGATATAGTAACAATTATACTGTTATTAAATGTATATTACATATCTGATGAAGATATAGTAACAATTATATTGTTATCAAATGTATATTACATATCTGATGTAGATATAGTAACAATTATATTGTTATTAGATGTATATTACATATCTGATGTAGATATAGTAACAATTATGTTGTTATTAATATTACATTATATCTCATGTAGATATAGTAACAATGACATTCTTGTTAAATGTATATTACATACCTGATGTAGATATAGTAACAATTATATTGTTATTAAATGTATATTACATATCTAATGTAGATATGCCAATAATGATATTCATATTAAATGTATATTACATTATATCTCATGTAGTTATAGTAACAATGACATTGTTATTAAACGTATATTACATACCTGGCTACGTGGAGGTTGCTCAGTCGGATCTTTGTCTCGCGTGCGTGCATGTGTGTGTGTGTGGATAACAGCCTGCAAACGCTATTTCATATTAATACAGCGACGTATTAAGGTTTGAGGTAACCTACGCCAAAAAGACACACAAGTCAGCACGGGACCACCACTTATCTCCCAACTAAACTAAAAAATCGAGCTTAATTGATTTCAATGATTTCGAATTTTGGCATTCGTGGCCGGCCACCTTGCGGCGGCTGGAATATTAATATAGCCTAACCTAACCTAATCCAATTCACTAATTAACAAGTTCACTAATTTAATTTTGTATTAGTATCGGTTAGGTTAGGCATAATCAATATTCCGGCCGCCGTTAAGTGGCCGGTCACGCATGCCGGAATGCAAGAAATGACCGCCGGTTGTCTATTATTTTTATAAACAACAACACTATGAGCAGGTAAGGGTGAAATTAGATTTTTAAGTTCCACCTGTTATGTACACTGCTTAACGGGCACCATGCTGTGTTTACAGAATCCAAGTGGGCCATACTGACGCACACACCGCCACTGACGTGTAGGTATACTCACAATAGTAGCAACTTTCTTTTGCAAATATCTCGAAAATTAAAGCCGAGCGGCTGTTGCCGTATAGGAAAAAGTTGTTTAGACTCATCGTCCCAACAACATATTAAAAAATTAGCGAAATCGGTGGGGTTGATGAGATATTGATAATTACCATGACAGGTTACAAGTTTGCTATATTTTATTGCAAAAATTATCAACCTGCTTCTGTCGAAATGTATATTGACTTTCATCGAGATAAAGGATATCTGTATATATTAGTTTATATTGCATTCTTTATTCATTTATTTTTCTATTTTATTTTCAATTTATAATAAAAGAAAAAATTAGTGGTCATCGAACTTTTGTAGTTCTATTGTTAAATAGTAATGACGGAATACAATATTTACAATGATCAATACGAGTTCTCAAAAATCAAATATTATTCTACGTAATTATTTCTGATATCTCATAAAAAAATGTGAAAGGGGTGGTAAGAATTTAAATTGCACAGCTTCTTATAACACGCGCGTGTTTATTAAAATAGATAAGTGATTTAAATATATAATATAACGTATAAAAGAAATAACCATAGCTTTTGCTTAATACGAGACACATGGCGTGTGCATCACGAATACAATCTGAAACAAAATATGGCGTCGTTTTCGCCAGTGCTAGGAACAAAACAAAAAAAACGTAACATGTACTTCATGCCACCGAGTAGGGGAGCAAACCGTACTTCAAAAGATTATTTCGGTTAATAACTTCAATTACTAAATTTCAAATAAATATTTTCAATATATGTACAAATTATGCTTGTAATTATTATTATGGAGTAAAATAAATTTCCAAGCACTATCGTATTTAAATATAAACTATTTTAGTAGTTAATTCAAATAGTTTGTGTTTGATATATAGCCACCTATGAATGAAATAAAATGGAAACGCGTCAATTGAGGGGCGCGGTCTTTCTAGCGTTGATCTCCTGGTTAGAACACCCTTTCCTGTAAAGTTGATGTAATCTGTCAAATGAAAGCAGAATCGAACAGCTTTTGTTGCAATTACAATCGCTTACCATCCCTTGTAACGAAACAGTCGCGTGATTATGCAACTTTTCAAACGGACGAAATGTGAACGTTTTTGTATTTGGCTCGTATCTCACCCTTCTCTC